ATAATGTGTGCAATACATATCACATATCTTAACAAATCTGGATTTCCCCCTGGGACTAATTTTGGATGCCCCAAGTTTACTGCTGATAAGTTGCATGTTGCATGACAATTCTTGCGAATAACTTCACTTCTAAAATGCCCCAAGCTATCTGGTTGATGAGGAGAAATCGTCTCAAGAGGATTTTACAAAAGACCTGGCATTCACCATGCTCTGGTGTCTTCAAACTCTTAGAGAGATTCATCAAATCTCGACGTGATTGCCCCGGATTGACTGTAGTTGGCACAACAAAGTCTTCAAATTTTGCCCCAAAAGAGTAAACAAGTTGGGAAAACATTAACTAGGAGAAGCAACATGTTCGTGCTTAAGGTCTTCATGTGACATGTCCCCTGATATGATTTTTCTTGAAATGATTCTCTAATTACTCAACAGAATTTCAAGCCTTAAGAATTTACTCATCATTGGTGCTTATATGTTAGTTTCCTTGATATCAAACAAATGTTTTGCAGTTAGAAAAAGTTTACAATGAGAATGAAAATTCTAATGCAACAGTTATGTAAGTCTTGAAGATTTTGAAAGATATCGCACAAATTTTGCGAGTTAAAGCACCATTTATTTTTGTATAGAAAAAGCATATGATACCAACATAACTATTTAACAAACATTCATGGGAGTCAGGAACACTATCTCATTGAAATATGCTTTCAAAATAACCTTGCTTCAATTAGGACTTTTGAAGGTTGTAATGTGGCCTGGTTCATGGTTTTTAGAAAAAATATTTTAAGGCTCAAAATATTTGGTGCCCACCCCTTCTTCATGATGTTCTCCAACCCTATGTTCAGTTAATTCAACATGAGTGTTCATCTCTCAAAAGGATTTTGTGACGGTCAAGGAAACGACGAGGCTTTCGGAGTAGAAACCACCCTCATGTCTTCGTGTTTGTAGTCACCAATTTGTTCTTTACTGAGGACTTTTCTTTGCAGTCCTTTTCTTTGCGATTTTATTTTCCCTAACTTTTGCCTGAACTAATTCTTTTGAATTGATAGTCCAACGGGATGCCTTAATTTTGCCTAAGTCACACGTTTTCATGTTTTTTGACTTAGCAGGCTTTTTCTTTTTCTCGATTTTTGACTTTTTGAACAAAATGTGTGACATTAGCTTGTCTTTTCTTGTTGAGAGGATTGTGATTGCCTCGTTTCTTGATGAATGAGGGATAACATTGTGGTTCCACATCCTCTAGATTCATTATACATGAAGGATAGCCCTCGTAGTTTCTCTTCAAAAAACATCTTCCTTATGAATTTTGAACACTCAGTCAGATTAACTAAAAACTACCCTGCCCCAGGTTAAAATTCAGGGTTTTTTCGTATAGAAAAGAAACTTCTGCTTCAAAGGCTCAAAAGGGGTTATCAAGGGATTATCTTCCTTATATCTCCGGTGTTTAGGGATTTGAAACAATGCCTGTACATCATCAGCAAGATTTTATCCAAAAGCATGCAACCAGAGATTTTGTGTTCTTTAGATCATCATCCTCCCTTCAATCTCTGCCTAGGCAAGAGAGTGGGCAACAAGTTGGTATCATAATGCAAAAATAAATTTAAAATTGAAAACAAATATGAGTGAAACGAATGAATTTCTTCAAGACAAACATACCCATTGTATTAAGATAATCATTCAGATGCAAACAAGTTCTTACATGCAAACAATGTTTTGATAAACAAGAAAAATTACAAAAAGCAAGGATAAGTTAATAATCTGGGAAGGCTTTCCATCTGGACCTGAATTACCGAAAACATCCTTCAAAAATCAAAGTCACCATCAATCGTGTTTACTCTTCGGCGCATGCTTGATTTGAACTTCAAAACCAACGTCCTTGAATGACAAGATACCACTTTTGACCAACTTCTGAACCTCGATCTTCAAAGCAAAGTAACCCTCCAAGTCATGCCCAGGAGAACCTTGATGAAAGGTACAAGCCAAATCAGCTTTGTAGTACCGATGTATCTTCTCAGGAACCTTCAGTGGAGGTCGGGTCTGAACCAAATTCCTCTGCATCAGGATAGGGAACAACTCTATATAGGTAATTGGAATTGGATCAAACTGGGTTTTCCTCTGATTAGGAACTTGCCGATTCTGTTGATGAATAAGAGAAACGTGATGATTCTGACGATGATTATTTCTTCCTCTGGTTCCCTTCTTGGAAAAGTTATTATCAAACTTCTTCACACCATTAGCTGAGCTACCATCTTCATATAAACATCCCTTTCCGACATCTTCTTCTAGACGCACTCCCACATTCACCTTGTAAGGAAAGTCATTAGGTGCATTGACCATCACCTTCTCGTGAGAGAATGATTTTAGAGTTTCAGTGAAGACTTTTACCATCGCTTCCTCCTTCTTAGAAGGATTGACTTGGGCAGCAACCAAAATTTCAACCAAAACAGTTGAGTGATCCATACCAGCTTTCAAATTAGTCACCTCTCTGCGGAGTTCAGAAGTATCTTGCTTGATATTCTCCATTGTTCTCTTAGCGTCAGTGTTGTACTGGTGAGACCAAAGGAAAAATAAGACTTGGAAAAAGACCTTTGAAAGTGAAACAAAAAATGTAGAATGATGCATGATATGCAAAAGAGAGTTTTTATCTGACTTTCAAGGAACTCAAGATATTAAGTTGTAAACATCAAAGTATGAAGATAGAAGATGAATTTTAAATTGGCTCCAAACATTGATCAAGTTATCATCAAGATCAATCATCCATTTTGGTGGATTAGGGTTTTCGCCCTATCAACACCCAAGATCCATTGAGCTTGACGAAACTTGTGATGTTTACAAAGAAAGACCTCCAAATTCCTTCAAAGCCAAGTGAAAAGGGTTTTATGGATGTATGAATGCATGGCTATGCAACAACCACAAGCAAGGTCACAAATAAAGTCGAAAGGTTCAACGTCACGAGCATGGAGTCAAGGTAAGGAACACCCCCAAGGTATGTACTAACAGTTTAATCACACCTGTAGAACAAGGTTCTAAGAGTTCCCGGAGTCTACATTCCTCCTTCGGATATTACCAACGTCTTGATTACTCAATAATCAGCAATATTCTCAAGAGAAACTCATCCGAGCGTAGCATCGCGTAACAATTACTTCCGGATTACTCCGTTATAATCTCCGCGCTACACCTAAAAGGCTAAGATGGGTTAGGGTTCTACGGTTCCCAGCTTCTCTGGCTCCCAGGTCGAAAATAATAATGTCTTCCTGATTACTCGGTAAACAAATATTACGTTCAAAAGGGCCTTCCACTGAGTGGGGGATCTCATGCCTCCTTCTTCGGGATTACTCCCTCAAAGTTAACATGACTATACCGCCCGTCCTATTCCTAAGTGTAACTTAGTCCGGGTATAGGACCTGTCCTTTGCAAAAACTCAAATAACCACAATATATCACAATTAATCAAACAAACAAGTAATAATAACAAAACAAATATGACAAATTAGGCTTAACCCACTTTAGGGATGGACCAACAAGAGGTCAATCTTTCCCCAGCAGAGTCGCCAATTCTGTAGCGGTGAAAATCGGAGATCAAGCTATTAATTAACTTGACTCGCAAAAGCGAGAGTCGCCACCACGCTTTATTATTTCCAAGGGAAGAGGGAAAAGAGCGAAATAAAACCCTAAAATATGCAATGTAAAATAATACTTAAAAGTAATAAAAATACAATGCGTTTTTGAAAGAGATCGAGAGTTCGGGGGTTGGTTATACAATGGGAAGATATTAGCATCCAATGCATCTGCGGTACTCCGCAGGAACCTTTTGAAATATCTGTTTTTTTTGGTTAAAATTGTTTGTTTGATTAAAATGGTTCGTTTGGCTAAAAATAGGTGTTGGCGAGATTTTGAAGATGTGATAACCTAATGTCGAAGTTTTGACTTAAAAGGTGTGAGTTTGAAAACGGAGTCTTTTGGGAAAATTATCTTAAGTTTGGAAAAATAGTAAATAAGCAAAAAATGAATGAGGCTATTCGCACGATTGTAGAAGACGTCTTTGATGACATGAAGTCAACTGAGCTGAAACATTTCCCTTGGAATAAATCGAGCAAGTAAGATAAGATGAATCCACAAAGTATAAGCATTCAAAAATTCACAAGAAAAACAAATCTAATGAAACAGATTAATGACCAAAAGCATCGAGAAATTAAAATGACAAAGATATTTAAATAGAATAAAAGAGAATGTAACTAATTATCTAAAGAAGTTATTCGAACTAAATTAAAAATTACTTACTAAAATAATTCTAAACTAATTACAAATTCTAAGGTTATAAAAAAATCTAGTATTATTGAATTTGATCTAAACTAAACTAAAGCTTTAAAATTTAGTAAGTTAAATCTAGATTAAATTAAAATTCTAAGGTTACTAAATTAAATCTAAAACAAATGAAAATTTCAAAGTTACTAAACTAAATCTAAATCAAATAAAATTCTAAAAACTACTAAACTAAATTTAAATCAAATAAAAACTCTAAAGTTATTAAACTAAATAAAAATTATAAACTTATTAAACTAATTCTAAATCAAATAAAAATTATAAAGTCACTAAACTAAAACTAAACAAATAAAATTCTAAAGTTAACTTAAATAAAATCAAATAAAATTCTAAAGTTATTAAACTAAAACTAAACAAATAAAATTCTAAAGTTAACTTAAATAAAATCAAATAAAATTCTAAAGTTATTAAACTAAACTAAAACAAATAAAATTCTAAAATTTACTAAATGAAATAAAATTCTAAAGTTATGAAATAAATCTAAACTAATTAAAGAATTCTAAATTAATATTAAACTAAATTAATTATAAGATTTACTAATATTTTTTTTTAATTTTTTTATAACTAATTAAAAGGAATTTAATTGCATTAACCTAAATATCTAAAAGTATAAAGAAATAGAAAGGGTGTGTATAAGCATGTTATCGGCCCTTTAGGCCCAAACTCAACATAAAGACACTAACCCTAATTTCTAATAATAAACAATGAAATTAAACTAAAAAAAAAACAAACACACCACACCTTGGGGCGGCTCATGCTGCCAGTAGCTGTTTTTATTTCTTTTTCATTGGCCAAATTACCATAAGCCATGCCATAGTTTGGTCGTGTCTGAAGAGCATGCTGATAACATGCAATAGCTTCTTGAGGCATCCCTAAAGCCTTGTATATGTTCCCAAGGTCCAATGTAGTGAGTGAAACGCAATCGCCAAGCTCGATCGAAATGTTTCCTTTGAGACGGTTGTTGCTAAGAACAAGCCTTTGTAGAATCACTGCACTCCCAATCTCCACAGGAAGAGAACCTGAGAGAATGTTGTTACTAAGGTCCAAAAACTGAAGGTTGGTCAAGTTCCCGATACTCTCCGGTATTTCTCCGGCGAGTGCATTCCCGGAGAGGTCAAGCGTGTGTAGCTTCGTTAGAACCCCAAACTCCGATGGAATCTTCCCGGAGAACGAGTTGGAACCGAGTCTAAGAGTTTTTAGGTTCAACAACCGACCAACGTCACCGGGGATTTCACCGAAAAACTGATTATCTTCAAGGTTGAGGATAGTCAGAAACGAAAGAGACGTAAGAGACAAAGAGAGATTGCCTTTAAGGTAACGAGAAGGAAGAGAAAGCGAAGTGACTCGTCCGAGTTGACACATGACACCAACCCAGTTACAGTGAGGAGTTGCAGAGTGCCATGAAGAAAAAAAGTGGGAGTTTTTAAGAGACCCTTTGAAAGAAAGTGGCGAAACCTTTTCTGGGTTGTTTTCATTTTTGTCTCCAACAGCGTAACATGATTAGAACACGACAAGGTACGAGAGTACGAAAATGTTAAAAGGAACAGCCATGGAAAATGAAGACGAGGAAGTGAAGATTGTTATTTTTAAGGTATTATTGTTATTTGGTAGTTGAACATGCAGAAAATGCCATTGAAGAAAAATGAAGAAAAGTGGTGTAGTGAAATAGTGGTAGAAGAAGCATGAAAATTGAAAACCATTGTTAATGTTGTTGTATTTCTTTTGTTGTTGTTGGAACTGGAATAATAGTACTTGTCCCAAGCAGGACCACCAGGGTGAGACCAGTAAAAGAAATTCACGGTTAGCCAGAGTAAAGCCATGATCAAAAAAGAGTAAACAATGTTTTCTTGTGTGCATTTTGAAGCTAGGGCGAATATCCAGAGGTTATCAATGTGGGTAGACATGGTTAGAGAGAGAAACTGAGGAGAGAGAAACTGAGATTAAGGGTTTGTAAAGGAAGGAGGATGAAGAAGATGAGTTTGTGTGTTGTTAATTGTGTGTCTGAAACAACATGGTCCCGGTTGTTTTTGTTTTGTTTGGAACAGTGTTGTTGTGTTTGTGTGAAAAGAGGAGACAGTGGAGTAAAGGAAGAGTATGTAGGTTTTGTGTTGTTTTTTGATGGGAGTTGAGGGAAGTAATTTGCTAGATAGTGAGAGGAAAGTGTGTTGTCCACAAAGAAAAAAGAGACTATTAAATAGCAAGATGAAGAGGAAATGATTCCTGATTATCCCATCTCGTTCACTCTTTTTCTTTTCTAATTTATCAATCCTGCACTACCTCTTGCAACCAATTAGAAAAAAGAATAGTTTAACAAAAAAATTAATGATTAAAAATCCCTCTAAAATAAAAATGACTTAAAAACCTGAAAGTGTACAAATTAATGCAATTTAAAATATATTTTTTTGAATTTTTCTGAATAAAAAATAAAGACTCAAAATGACCGAAAATGATAAAAAACGGACGAAAATTTATCCGAAAAAATAAAATGAACACATTAAAATAATCTACATGTCACAAAGATTAAAGAAAAAATATTCAAGAAGTCAAAAATCAAAAATAAAATAATAATAAAAATATCAGACTAAACAGACGTTTAAGGTTAAAACGAGACTTCGAACTGTACCGAAAAATAAAGCGAGCATACCGTCATAATCTACGCGAAGCGCAGATTCATAAAATGATCGGTAAAAGGTGAAAACTTGAAATATTTTTCTCGCTATTTTTTCGCACAATATCGAATCGCTTTTAACAGTCTGTCTATAAAACCAAAATATTTTATTTATCGACATATAAACAACTTGGAGCGATGTAAGAAAATAGTAAACAGATAAAAATGCATGAAGTGAAATTTCGGGTATTTTACAACTGAAAGACGATGCAAACTTTGATTTAAACTGACTTTTTCTGGTCAACTTAAATACGACTAATGATGCAAAATGTGATGAATGAAGATATTTACTAATGATTGTGACCAAATAACAAAATATGATATGAAAGTGCGACTAAGACATATTAGGGGCGAAATTTAGGGTGCAACAGTTGTGCCTTGATGGATCAGTCTTCCAGAATCCATAATCAACCGTACTTTTGGCTTGGGAGACTCAAAACCTTAATTGAGGCGCGACACCTGATGCTCTTGATTCAGACCTGTCTCTGCACATGACACAAAAGAAAACATGAACATACACCTTTGTATGCGATTAGAAATTAGTGATACATATGCTAAAAATGTTCAAAACACTTAACAATCTTCGCATAGTCAAAGCTCGAAGGTGAGACGTTAAAACCGACCGTATTTCGTGACCTTGACTTATCTTAAAAATGCAAAAATAAAAATGGGATCTTAGGTCAAAAATTGGGGTACAACAACAGGCTTTTATTTCGAAGAAACCCTACTACCCAGGTTCCTTCTCACAACCCTACTACCCAGGTTCCTTCTCATAGCCCTACTATCCAGGCTTTCATTTCGAAGTAACCCTGCTACCCAGGTTCCTTCATGCAACCCTACTACCCAGGTTCCTTCTCATAGCCCTATTATCCAGGCTTTCATTTCGAAGTATCCCTACTACCCAGGTTCCTTCTCATAGCCTTACTATCCAGGCTTTCATTTTGAAGTAACCCTACTATCCAGGTTCCTTCTCATAGCCCTACTATCCAGGCTTTCATTTCGAAGTAACCCTACTACCCAGGTTCCTTCTCATAGCCCTACTATCCAGGCTTTCATTTTGAAGTAACCCTACTACCCAAGTTCCTTCTCATAGCCCTACTATCCAAGTTTTCATTTTGAAGTAACCTTACTACCCAGGTTCCTTCTCACAGCCCTACTAACCAGGCTTTATTTCGAATTAACCCTACTATCCGGGTTCCTTCTTATAGCCCTACTATCCAGGCTCATTTTCATGAATTACTTGACGCAGTTTTGCATGGACTTATCCCGAGAAATCCCTATACAGGTTCCTTCTCTTTTATCTCTAGACAACAGTTTAAAACACTGTAAAACCTGGACCCGACTAGATACAGTCGATCTCATATTCCCAAGTAAGTTGTTGTGAAGCCTGGAATACGACCATATAGCAGTCAACCTTATCATCCTCAACCAGTCACTATGAATCTTGGACTCGACCAGATAACAACTCACTTTTGTCTAATCAATCAAGAGTTAATTCCCCAGTAGAGTAATGGAAAACCTAAGCTCCTAGACTCTATTTACCAATACATCAATCAACATTCCCCGGAGAATTCCTCCCCAACGGCAGGTACAGGAATTCTCACAAAGGAATCTCTTATGCAACCGATATCTTTTCTGGATGACATCTTTAAGACCATCTCCGACAATTCTACATCTCCTTACAAATGGCATCTGTAAACCCATTCCCGATTATTGTACCCCAAAATTTTCCCTCCCATTTTATTCAACAAATGTCAATTGAGGTCCCCAAGTTGCTCAAGGAAGTCCAAGAGTTGACCAGACAAACTCTCTCGTAAGGCAATGCACCTCAAAATTAGGGTTTCTATTTTCATCAAGATGGGTGAACCAAAAAGGTCTCAAATTCTTTCCAAGGTCCTAATATGTTCCCAAGATCATCCATGTCAAGTTTCATGCCTTGCACGAGAAGGTTGCTCAGTCAACTGCTTAGATGCTTGAGAATCAACTATATTAGGTTAAAAGTCAATTGTGGCCTACATACAATCAAACTTCAAAAAAATTGGTCAACATCATCATTTTGAAGTGTTATCAATCATTTGATCAAAGGTTGATCATGATTCCCCAAGTAATGCTCCAAAATCATCAAAACCCAAAAGTTGCGAAATTAGGGTTTTGCAGGAAAAGTCAACCCAAATTTGACCAAGCATAATTGCTTCATACTTTATCAGAAATTTTCCATCCAAAGCTCATTTTTAATAGGATGCAATTATCTACAATTAATCTTCATCTCACAAGTTCAAAATATGCACTCATAAAAAGATATGAATTTTGACATTATGGGTCTTTTTGAAAAGTCAACAAAAACACCTTTTGGGTCAAAGCTTCATACATGAACATGGAAGACTCAATTGACATGAGACCAAAAGGGTTGCTTAGGGGACATCCTAAGTTGTCTAAAAATTCCAAGAACACCACACTAGGGTTAAAATTGGAGGAGATATGCCTTGTCAAAGTTGACCTTTTTTGCAAAATTGCCAAAAGTCAAATGGGCTAAAAATTGCCTTTTTTGCCAAATGGGCCTAACTTTTTAAGCTTGCACCTCACTTATAATATGATCCATGACCCAAATATCCAACCTCATGTTATTTTCTCCACTTTTCAATTTATTTTGATTTTTTTTGTTAATTAAAATTTCAATTAAATCAAATAATTGATGAATAATGAAAAAGATATGTTGTGATCTGATAATTGGACAGGATTTCAACCAAATAATGCAAGGATATCATGATCAATTCGAATCAAGGCTGATTGGTACAAGAAAGGCATAATTTGGCTCAATATAGCAAGTTTACATATGCCATGAAAATCAAATCAAATCTTCAAAACTTTCAAAGATGTGATCTGTTTTTACAACCCTAATTCACTGTATGATATATATTGAACATATCCAAGGCAAGAACAAGGGTGAGAGTCGTGAAAAGAGGCAGAACAAAACTGCAAAATTTCAAAGAAAAGTGTGAGATCAAAATCCACTCTAGAGCCATCCTCGCGGAGATTTAAAGATTCCAATCTATTACAGGACATCCCAAGAAGCTATTCCACCTATCCTCAGGCTTTAAAATACCAGGAATCGTGCCCACCATCAACCATGGTTTGCTCAAAAACTCGATTCTAATTTCCTTGATTTTGGTAGCATTAACATGTTTTGATCATACATCCGTGTTCATCATCTTGTTTGCAAGCTATTGGCATCATTTAATTGCATTTACAACACAGGAATTATAGTATGCCATTACTAGGGTTTACGAGTTTGTTTTAGGGGTTTTTAATGCAGGAACAATTGGCTCTCATATTGGGTACCATGATGATCAGGGCTTCAAGCCCAATGTATTCATGGTCACCAATTGAATTTTTGAGATGGACAGGGTTATAGCCATGAACGAACGTCCATAGGTAAAAGTGTTTTACCTAAGACAACGGTCCAAGGAGGAAGATGATGCGTGTCAAAGCGTGATTAGTCCATTCAAATTTCGCGCGTTTTGGCTGGAGGAATATTTGACTTGGCTTTTGGTTTTATTTGTTTATTATGTTTACAAGTTAACAATCTAGCGCAGATGGTTGGAAGGAATGCCTTTGATGCACACGTCCTGGGTTCAATCCCAGCCGTGTGCATTTTATTATTTTCTTGATTGTTTAAGGCAAATCCAATGCAATACATCATCCCACGTCTATCATGTACCATCAACGCTCATTCATTGGATGCCCAGTTGTCCAAATCTCACGCTTCTCCCTTGAAGGCCCATGGTACACATGCAAGGTCAATGCTACACCAGATTCAAAGGTTTACCAGGCCTGGAGGCTTAATGGGCCAAGGATTTCAGTTCAACACCCCCAGCATTACTAT